CCACCCCTGACGTCACCTCGGCAAACTCCGCCTCCCCGACCGCCTTCCAAGCGCCCATCGTGAGTGGAGTGACAGCAGCACCCCCTGGAGGCCTCCAGCTCCCGTGTATCGCCACCGCTGCCATGGCAACCGGCACGCAGTTCCAGCTGGTGCCCAGCGCCCTCCCCTCAGGCCAGCTAGCGCTAGTCCTAGCCCCACAACACGTCTCCGCCCTCAACATGGGCGTCTACACGCAGCAGCAGCAGCAGCAGCAGCAAGCCGCGGCAGCGACTCGAACCCCGCTCCTCCACGACGCTGCACAGTCACTACCACCACCACCACCACCGCCGCCGGCACCACACTCTCAGAATCAGAAGGTGACTACAGCTGGGACGCGAATCCCCCTTCTTCACGACACGACTTCGACGATGCATCGCTTGCATCAACATCATCATCATCAGCAACAACATCATCAGCAACAGCAGCAGCAGCAGCAACAACACCCACACAGCAGTGTCCTAGAAGACGGGAAAAACCGCCTCCCATCAAACCTCCGTAACGAGAGCCCCATGTCTCTGGTCACCAAACACCCCCGCTCCCCGAAACTGACCGGAACCCCTCCCACAACCACGGCCGTCCAGCCGTCACCCTTACAACACCAAGAGGTCAGTCAAGGTGGAGGTCAAGGTGAGCGATCAGCAGCGGTTGAGCAGTCCACAGCAGCTCGGGCTACTGTCACTACGTCACCAAACCATGTGACCTCCCACCAGGCTTCGTCTGCTTCTTCTCGAGACTCGGGAAAGAAAACCGAGACTGATATGGACACTGATGACAACGACAACAGCAACATCCACAGAAATATCATCAACAAGAACACCACTGCCAACAACAACAACAGCAATAACAACAACAACAACAACAAAAACAATGCAAATAACAATGTGATGCGAGGAACGACGAAAGAGAACGATCCAATGTGGAGACCGTGGTGAAGACTGAGGACGATATCACTTGGGGAGATTGATGTGAAAAAGTTTTAGCAAGACTGACAGTTAGAGCTGTTCGACACTTGCAACTCAAGAAGGTCATACTCGTATAAGAGCCGAAGAGAAGAGGTGTTACACAAAGAAGAAGGAGGAGGAGAGATCTAGATAAGGACGATGCATGTTTGACGCACCCAATATACATACGG